GTGCAGCTATTTGTTAAGGAGAAGCTGGAAATTCTGCTGCACTTGCATCAGCTTTATGGGAGCTGGTTTTGTATCTGGGCCCTCACTTGGTTTCCTTCACGGCTGACTAAGAGCCCGAGGACTCAGCCTGGGGTCTCCGTGGAGGGACAGCACGTCTGAGGTCTCCCTGTGGCTCTGTGGCTCCTCCGCAGGGCAGAGGTGCAGAGGGGAGAGAAGCCAGCTCGGCAGCTGACGTTCTTAGGCTCCCATCCCAGCCTCTCCAAAAGGAACCTGCTTCTGGGCTCTAGAGAGGGAAGAGGAAGCTCTCCCTTGGAGTCGGCTGGTCAGAAACAGGTCATCCGTAGATACGGGTTGAATCACCATTTACTTGAAGTGGAGGATGGTTGGGAGGAAGGGCAGACTGTGAACTACTTTACCTTTTCTTCTTTTTTTCTTTCACCCGTGATGTGGAATGAGCAGATATTTAGGGATATGAATTCTTGGTTACTTTGGATAACAAAACAATAAATAGGATTTCACACAATCCAAAAGTGGCTTCTTTGGTTAACAAAAGTTGCTTGAATGATGAAAAATGTTTCCGGAGCAGATGGCAATCAAACTGTCAGCAAGGTTCTGGTAATCTCGGAGAGGTGTGCAGCCCTGGAATGAGCACGGGTTTCAGAACATAAATAATAGACTGACTCCTGCCCGGAAGGTTCTTCTACATCCAAAGTCCACCTGAAACAACTGCTCTACAGAGTGATGTTGTTTCTTACGCAGAGAGTGGCCTCTTGTTATAAACTCTGTATTGGTTTAAAAAGTTAGATTAGGGGAGCCCTGGGTGGCTCGGTCAGTTGAGGGTCCACCTCATGACCTCAGGGTCATGGGATCAAGCCCCATCTTGGGCTCTGCTCAGCAAGGAGTCTGCTTGAGATTCTCCTTTTGCCCTTAACCCCCTGTGTGAGCTAGTATGTGGGCACACACTCTCTAAGATAAACAAATCTTTAAAAAAAAAAAAACACTCATAAAAGATTAAGAGGCAGCTTATCGGTTGAGCGTCCAGCTCTTGATTTTGGCTCAGGTCATGATCTGAGGGTGGTGGGATGGAGCCCCATATCGGGCTCTGTGCTGGGTGTGGAGCCTGCTTGGGCTTCTCTCTATCTCTCCCCCTGCCCCTGCCCCTGCTCACCGTCTCTCTCAAAAAAAAAATTAAAGAGTTTTAGATTAAATATGGAAACATCTGTCCATCATTCTCATGTCTTTATCCAATAACTCTATTAGAAATATCAACTTTGCCTAATATTTATGCTTTCTGCTAAAGTGCATGCCAGTCTCCAGAGGATGAGACATGGGCAGATAATCATAAAATAGTCTGCAGCAATCCTGGGATCCCTAGGCTGCAAGTGGAACGCCCCAGATCTTCTAGGTCTGGTACCTCAATGAGGAAGGAGGACCCAGAGATCCAGCCTCGCTAGATTCTGTTCTCCGACCCCCCAATCTCCTTACTTACTGACCAGAGAAACCTTTTCAGCTTGTGGATTTTGGTGAGGGTGAGAAGGAGGTATTAGAAGCTGAAGTTCTTGTTTTATTTTAACAGCAACAAATTTTAATGAAATAACCCCCTAATAGTTGGAGAACTATTTCCATTTAAGCATAATTTGAATTTACCAAACTTCACCACTTTCAAAAGACCCAAAACATTTCACCTTATTCCTTTTAAGGATTATAAAGTAGAGCAAGGGGAAAAAATAAACTGCTAATAAAGGATAATAGCAGTTTGGCAGGCAGCTGTTCTTAGTTTCATCAAAAGAATGACTGGTAAATTTAGTTTTTTTTTTTAATACTAAAGAATGTCTTTTAAAAAGTTATATTAGATCCTTTGGGTACTTATTGAAGTAGATTAGTACATTAAATCTGGATTCAAATTCCAGAATAAAGCTGATGACTACACATAATTATGTCCCACCTGCCTTAAATCATGTTATTCATTTTCTTCAGAATTGAGCTGGAATCCATCTTTCCACTTTGTCTAAATTTCACTTACTGGGGAGTGATCAGAGTCTGGGAGGAATAAGCCAGGTTGAGGTTACCTTTATCAACAGCTGTCTTATCTTTGCAGCCACAAGTGGATTTCGTGGACGAGCACCGTTCACTAGAAATATAAGGCAACCACATTATGTAATTTATAGTTTTCTCGTTTCTATATTTAAAAAAATATTTTTAAAAACATGAAATTAGTTTCACAGTACGTTTTATTTAACATAAGCAAAATATTTCAACATGGAATCAGTTTAAAATCATTGAGATATTTTGCATGCTTTCTTTTCACCAAGTCTTCTAATTTGCTGTGTGTTTTCTACCTAGCCCATCTCAGTTTGAGTTAGCTACATTGTAAGTGCTCAGTAGTCCCCAGGTGACTAGTGGCTACCATGTGGGACGGCACAGTGTTAACATGGTGTGTGTAAGGAGATAGCTGGAGGTGAGGCTTTTACCTGTCAAACCAGGAGTTAGAGCTTCACCCCCAAACACTATGGGAGCCATCAAAGGATGTTAGGCAGAGAAGTGTTTTTAATTTTAATTCTTGGCAGTCTCCGAGAATATAAATTAGAGATTCAGGAGTTGGGGCCTCAAGCAAGAAGCATGCTAGCTAGGAGGCTGCTGTTTGTCTAAGTGAGGAGTGATAGGAACCTGAACTAAAACATGAGAAACACAGACCAAAGGAAGTATGTCTGAGGGAGGTAGGGGGTAAAATCATCAGAATTTGGGGGTGACTCCTGGGTCTTAGGAGATGGAGTAATCTGGGACGGTTGTCAGGCTTCTCCTTTGCGTCGTTGGGCCAGCAGTCGATGTGTTACCTGAATGGAGGGAGGGCAGGTTGGCACAGGGGAGAGGGGTTCAGCATGGCCCATGCTGCCTTTGAGGCGTCTCTGGCAGGTGGATAGGTCTCGTTTGATGTGTAAGAGTTCACACAAGAGACTGTAGCCTTGGAAGCTAGAAAGACTGGGTAGGAACATTCGGTACTTAAAGTGCCAAGGAAAACGTTAGGCAGTAACAAGATGGGGACGTAAGACTGAGGTAATCAAGGACAGCTTTATAGAAAAGGTGGGATCTGAGCAGAGTTCAATTAAAGAATGGGTAGGATTCAGAAAGTCAAAGATAACAGAAGAGGCAACAGAGTTGTAGAGAGGGAAGAAAGTATGAGTCCATGAGACGTGTTTAAGCGACACCGAATAAACCTGTCCTGCTGGGCCAGATGGGATTAGGGCTGAGATCAAAGCGGGTCTAATGCAGTTTGCAGACATGTTTTGTTTGGCTTGCGTGGGGTTGGATCATGCAGCGTTCTAAATATTAGGTAGGTGCCAACATTTCCACACAAAAAATTTCTGACGTTCCTTTAAAATGAAAGGGGGCTGGGAGACAGACTTGGCAACGTGGTGGTCCTACACGGTGAAAATCAACTTAAATACGTGCTCCCGCTCTCCAACGAGACTGTTTCCCTCCTTAATGTTACTTGCCGGAGTCCTGTAGGTATTTGCATTTTCTGCTTTTGAGTCGAGGATCAGTAGGTAATAAAGGCACAAGGATAGACTGGTGACAGATTATGAAGGGCTTCTGATACCAAACTAGAGAATATAAACGTAGGCGGTAGGCAGCTGATGACTAAGGGATTGATGAGATTAAACTCCTATTTAGAAGGATTGTTCTGGACCAGCGTGGAAATACAGAAGTTAGGGAGAAGGGTTAGCAGTTTTGAAAAGGAAAAGACAGATGTGGTGGTGTTGGCGCATCCAAGTGGGCATAAAAATGCGAAATGGAAGTCTCTTAAGGGGATGTCATTCATCCCCAAGGCTACTAGGACCACCTGGGAACCATTGGGCCATTGAACTTGCAGGGTAATTTGCTTTGCAGGCTTCTGGAATTCTGGCCAAAGTTTGGCGTAGGGAACAGTAAGTGATTGTCTCAAACAGCTGTTTGGATTTGTTCAAACGTCTCTGTGACCTCAGAGCAAACAGTGGGAGTACAGACATGCTTTCTCTCCTCCTTGTGAGCACAGATGATCATTGAGAGAATGGAAGTGCTAGCACAGGGGTGACCCTTAGGGGCCGTGGAGCAAAGCTTACAGCAGTGGGCGCTGAGCTGCGTGTTTTGTCGCCCAGTATAACACCTGCCTGGTCACGCTGCCTTTCAAAACGTTGTCAGGTGGCCGTTTTACAGTCACTATTCTAGGTACACTGTAAATTAAGAGGAAAGGTCCTTTAAAAAAATAGGCTAAAATTAATATCTGATCATTACTAACTGTGTCAGGCACTGTTAGGCACTGTTCTAGGTTCTTCACGCAGATCCCTTAATCTTCACAGCCACCCCTTGAGGTACTGTTACTATCTCCATTCTACAGACAAGGAAACTGAGGACCTAGAGGTTAAGAACTTACTCAAGGTCACCAGGGGCTGATAAGGGATAGAACCTAGACTTGAACCCAAGCAGTCTCTCGGAGAGGCTTCTCTCTTGCCTGCCGTGTTAACCGCCTCAGTGTCTGTCTGTCCTGATGCCACACGACAGGCAAATTCGCAGGGAGGGAACCTGACGCTCTTACCCTGGAAGCCCCGGGGCGACTTATTTCAGGGGTGTCAGTTGGGTTTAGGTTCTAGAAGATGTGAAACTGCCTTTAATGAGAGCAGAGAATGGGGTCCTTAGAGGACCTTGAGAGAGCGGGGTTGTAGGAGGGTGCTCCTCCTCTGGCGGATGGCTCCGTGTTACCTTAGGAAATGTGTCATCGGTGACCCTTTTTTGAAAAAAGACCTCCCATGAGGATCCTTGTTTTCTTTTATGCGAGCTAAATCAGGTTAGCCTTGGCTTCATACGTTCTGATGAAAAATTATCACAGAAGAAACTTTATAAATATTTGGATTTGGAAGGAGGTGAGAGTCCATCACATGGTAGAGACACAAAAGCATTTTGTGTCAAAATTTGTCAGTTTTCCCCACCGTATTTAGTGTTGCTTCTTTCTCTTCGGTCCACAGATGAAACACGTGAATGAAAGATTTCAAGATGGAAAAAATAAAGAAGTGATTCTCATGTGCATTGGCATCACTTCAGGAGTCGGACGGCTGCTCTTTGGCCGGATTGCAGATTATGTGCCTGGTGTGAAGAAGGTCTACCTTCAGGTACTTTCTTTTTTTTTTTTTTTAAAATTTTTATTTATTTATGATAGTCACAGAGAGAGAAAGAGAGAGAGGCAGAGACACAGGCAGAGGGAGAAGCAGGCTCCATGCACCGGGAGCCCGATGTGGGATTCGATCCCGGGTCTCCAGGATTGTGCCCTGGGCCAAAGGCAGGCGCCAAACCGCTGCACCACCCAGGGATCCCCTTCAGGTACTTTCTTAGGCCACTTTTCCTCCCAGCAAAATTATCTTTCTCACCTCATGTCTTGTTATAGGTATTTACTTGCTTAAATTCTTCTGTAAAAATGACAAATATTTTCTAGACCCTAACTTCTACCAACAGTCTTTCAAGGGCAAAATTGGTTGAGTTTTGGGTTTTCAACATGGGAGATTGGCGCTCAAACAGCAACCTTATGTGTTTTGTCATGGAACTCCACCAAATCAGAATGTTTTTCGCCCATTGCTTTTTCTGAGAAGAATGTTTTATTTTTGGCACAGCTCTCACGGTCATGTGCCTTTTGCAATATCTTGTGAAATTCAGGAGTGTGTGTTTCTTTTGAACTTCTTTATTGCCGATTGCCTCCTGGGATTGAGGGGTGCGCGCTACACTAACGGTAATTCCAGATCGTACCGACACGCGTTCGACAAGTACCTAAATGACTCCTTCGTGCCACACACTGTGCTAAATGCTGCGGATGAAGCGTGAGCCATGGTCTGTGTCCTCAGTTAGTTGCTAATGGTCTCATGGTGCTGCAGCGCGGCGGAATAATGACTATAATAGATGGGTGCCATAGAAACATCTGGATCACTAGTGAGGGTCAGAGCAGGCCTCCAGGGCTGCTGGGGGGCTAAGAGGTGAGTGGTAGACAGGTAGATAAGGAAGGCAGAGAAGTGTGTCCCAAGCCGAGGAAACCACATGGGCAGAGAGGTGGAGGTGTGACACAGTATGTTGTGTCTGGGAAACTGAGTAAAAGGAGATGAAGGGGAATAAAGGGAGAGCAGAAAATCGACCATCTGGAGGACAAGCAGGGGCCAGGTCAGTAAGAGGATGAACGCTATCCTGAAATCTACCAGGAGCCCTCGGAGGGTCCGAACCAAGCAACGGGGGACAGGAGTTGAATTTTATTAAGCTCAATCCAGTGACTGCCAAGGGTGGGATGAGGTGGAGGACGGGCACAAAGGCTACATCCCGTACAGCCCCATCTCCAGAACAGGCTGCGCCACAGAGGCAGAAGGCAGGTCGGTGGTTGCCTGGGTCTTGGGGGGCAGGGGGGTGTCACCGGGGGCGGGGGGATAGTTTTGGGGGATGATGTAAATGTTGTACAGTTAGGCAGGAGTGACGGTTGTACGACTTTGTTAACCAAAGCCCACTAATTATGTACTTTAAAATGGGTGAATTTTATGGTAGTTGAGTTTATAACTCAGTAAAGGTTTTTTTTTTTTTTTTTTTTTTTTTTTAAGTGGAGGCCAAGGGACTTGCTGGAGCCTAGTGAAGTAGTCCAGACAGGAGGGGTTCAGGCGGGAACACTGGGATCAAACAGTAAAATAGGGACACTGGGAATGAGAGTCTGATGGAGCCACCTAGGCTGCGTCTCAGATTTGTGGCTCCGTCAACAGTGGACGGTTGTGCTGTTTCATAAAGATCGGTAGTTCGTAAATGGGAGTGAGACGCTGGGTTCATCTTTGCCATTTTAAATTTGTGGTGCTTGTGGGAGAGCCGAGACTGGAGCCCCTGAGAGAGTCTGCGAGACCTGTGGGACTTCGGCCTTCGTGTGGCAGGAGTAGCAGGGGATGAACGGGGTGGCCAGGCGGTGGGAAGGAAGCAGGGCACAGGGTGCGTCCAGGGACAGGAGTGGTCAGCCGTGTGAGCAGCTGGCGAGAGGGCAAGCACGTTACAGACTTAAAGGTTTTCATTGGATTTAGCCACAGTTTCAGTGGAGTGGCTGGTGCTGAAGATTGATCTCAATCCCTGGGTAAGCGGCGGTGTAGACGAGTTAGGCCAAAAGCTTAGCTGTGGAAGGAAGGTGAAGGGGAGCCCGGGGAGGGGGCGTTTGGGATTGGGGAATCGTGTCTGCTCACTATACGGATGGGAGGCAGTATTTGAACTGGGCCTCGGAGGAGAGGTGGGATTTGGGCACGGGAAAATGATGAGGAGACGTTTATACAGATAAAGCAACTTCCATTAATTGATGTGAAATAACAACAGCCACCACTTACTGACAGGGCCCCATGTGCCAACAGTGAGCCTCGTGCCCGCGTGCAGTGTTATTGCTCAGCCCAGCCCTCGAGGACCTCTCGTGGTTCCTTCCACACCGTAGGGAGGTGCCCCACGGTGGGCGTCTGCGTGAGGTCCCGGCAGACAGCTGGAGGAAGGAGTGGAAGGCAGTGCAGATAGCTGGGAGAGTAGCTACATCTGAAAGCATCTGCTGTACGATCATCCCCCTCTTGCTGAGACCGAACTGTGGACATTCTTGTGGAACCTTCGGTCTTGTTCTCGAGGGCCAAGAGAACCCTCTAATGGACACTTGTTGCATTACAGACCTTCAGCTTCCTTTCATGCTTTCCAAAGATTGTGTCCTCTGTGCTCCACCTAGACCCTGGCGGGGTGAGGCCAACAAGACACACGTGGTCTCTGAGTTCCTGGAGCCATCTGGGGGCAGGGAAGATGAAGAGCTCAAGAGGGGAGGGAGAGTGACGTGGGGAGAGGTTGGAAAGCTAGGCAGGGCCAGATTATACGGCCTTCAAAGCCAAGAGGAAGAGATGTTACTTTAAGTGTAGCAGGTCTTTGTTGGAGAATGACGTGGTCTGATTTCATGTTGAAAAAAAAAAAAGGGATGCCTGAGTGGCTCAGCAGTCTAGCGCCTGCCTTTTGCTCAGGGCGTGATCCTGAATTCCCAGGTTCGAGTCCCACATCAGGCTCCCTGCATGGAGCCTGCTTCTTCCTTTGCCTGTGTCTCTGCCTTTCTCTCTGTGTGTCTCTCATGAATAAATAAATAAAAATCATTTAAAAAAAAAAGATTTATTTATTTATTTATTTGAGGGAGGGCAGAGGGAGGGAATCTCAAGCAGACCCCTTAGTGAGCGTGGAGCCTGACACAGGGCTCGATCTCACAACCCTGAGATCATGACCTGAGCCGAGATCCAGAGTCAGATGCTTAACTGACTGAGCCACCCGGGCGCCCTCGATTTCACATTTTAAGGTCACTGTGGTTGTATGTGGAGGAGAGATTGCTGGGACGGGAGCAGTCATCCGTTCTCCACAGTAGCATATGCTGAGTCCCAGGTGAGAGGACTGCATCTCAGAGAGGCCCGTGGAGGAGAAAGGTGGCCTTCGGTGTGTCCTGCGGCTGCGGGGCCACCAGTGGGCCCCTCCTGGGAATGCAGTGGCACAGGAGCCAACACGGGCCTAACCCATGTGGCTACTGGACTCGCCCCTTTCTGTCACTCCCCTCCTCTGTCTCTCCTTTTTCCTGGCTTCCCTGCCCAACTCCTAGCCATCCCGTGTGGTTTTTGATTCTTGGCTGTTCTCTGCTGCAGCCAACTCCAGCTCTGCCTGTTTGCTTGTTCCTCTTTCCCTCACTGGCCGTCTGCCTTCTGGCCTCACCTCTAGAGGTGGAATGCCCCCACTGCCTACCTTCCTTACCTTCCTGTCACCGCTGGTGCAGACGTACCCGCTCCCCACTCTGGTCTGCGAGAGCCCGACCCCGGGGGGCTGCGACAGTTCTCTCCCCTTCCTGCCTCCCAGCAGCCGGGCACAGAATATACTTCACAACCTCCCACATGGTCTAATTTCTGGCCACAGTGACCTTGGGTTTGGGAGGCTACGGAGCAGAAGAGCACAGGCTCTGGAGTGAGAGAGGAGTTCACCCCAGATCTCGTCACCAGCTGTCTCCAGAACCGGCAGAGGGCTGCGGGAAGGATTCATGACGACGACTTACATAAAGCGTCGGCCCACAGCGGACGATTAATAAACCCTTCCTTTTATTATGTTTTAATATTGTCAAATACGGAAGCAGATCCTGATTCGGAACAGGTCTCATGAAAGGAGACCTTAGTTATCCTGAACTAGAAATCTTTGCTTTTAATTTTTTTTTTTTTTTTTTTTTTGAGTAATCTGGACACCCAACGGGAGGCTCAGACTCACAGCCCTGAGGTCAAGAGTTGGTGTTCCACTGAGTGAGCCAGCCAGGTGCCCCGGAGACCTTTGCTTATGGATAGATTCTTCAGCCCTGTTGAGGAGTCTCACACTTGGGATGCCTTGGGGGCTCAGTGGTTTAGCACCTGCCTTTGGCTCAGGCCGTGATCCTGGAGTTCAGGGATCAAGTCCCGCATCCCTGCATGGAGCCTGCTTCTAACTCTGCCTGTGTCTCTGCCTCTCTCTGTGTGTCTCTCATGAATAAATAAATAAAATCTTTAAAAGAAAGAGTCTCACACTTTTGCTTCTGAATTTAAACTCTATCAAGGTCCTGGTTTCCAGGTATTTTCGGTCTATTTTATTTTATTATTTATTTTTTAAGATTTTATTAATGATAGAGAGAGAGAGAGAGAGAGAGAGGCAGAGACACAAGCAGGTAGAGGGAGAAGCAGGCTCCCTGCAGGGAGCCCAACGTGGGACTTGATCCCGGGTCTCCAGGATGATGCCCTGGGCCGAAGGCAGGCGCTGAACTGCTGAGCCGCCCAGGGATCCCCAGCCTGACCATTTTAAATTCTGAGCAAAGAGATGACTAAACTGCATTTTATGGAATAATAATGGTTAAAGGCTTTCTGCTCTGGGTTCCTGGCCGGAGTCTCTGAAAGCCTGGAAACTTTATATTGAATAAATTAGTAGGAGCAACACTGACTGTGTGTGTCTGCCTCTGAAAATGCCTTCTGCTTATTCAGGTGCAGCTCATTTTTCTTCTTGAGCTATACTTAGATTCCTGAGCAAAACTTAAACTGATGTTTCTCCAAGAATATTCTCCTTGTGATAGAAATGGGGAAGGATAATAGCAAAAAAAGCAAAC